TTAGCTGTGGCCAACTTCTCTGACCTTGCTGCAGGCTCCAGCTTGTGTACTCCAGCGTGCTCATAGCTTTTACTACTTTGCCTGTCAAGGGTGAGTATGCATAGGTAAATGCAGGGCGTATTTAAACTTACAGTCTACACCTCTGCTCTGGGCAACACGCATTTAGATTTGCTTTATTTGGGGGGTTATTTATTTATTTTTAAAGGATGGCAGTAATAGGTCTTCAGGTGTCCTCGGGGACTGTACCCCTCTCCACACCCACTCAGCTGCCTGGAGCTGGGGCTGGTTCAGCCTCTTCTCCCAGGCAACCAGCGACAAGACAACAGGTCACAGACTTACCGAGGGCAGGTTTAGGGAGGGCAGCAGGAGCAATTTCTTCCTAGAAAAGGCTGATTGGCATTGGAATGAGGGAGCCAGGGCTGCGTTGGGATCACCGTCGCTGGAGGTGTTTAAGAGGGTTGGCACTGAGTGATTCAGTTGCCAGGGTGCTGTTCGGTCGTGGGTCGGACGCGCTGTGCCGAGGGTGAAGCGGAGCGGTGTGTTTGTTGACGATGATGATGATGATGACGATGTGGCGTGCCCGCCCCGTGAGGCCCACGGCGGCGGCTCCCCCGCGGCCCCGAGTGCGCCTGCGCGGCTCGTGGCGGTTGGTTCGAGCGCGGCGGTGCCGCCATGGCGGGCCCGGGGCCCGGCCGCTCCGCCCAGGCGCTGCAGCGGCGCTGCCCGCAGGGGCCCGCGGGGGTGAGACGGGGCCGGGGCGGGCGGCCCGCGGGGAGGAGGAGGAGGCGGCACAGAAAAGCTATTTCCTCCTCGCCGCGTCCCTGGAGTGTTCGGAGAGATGGAGGGTGGGGGGCCTGTCCGCTGCCTCGGGGTCCATTGTGAGCGCCGTGCTGCCGCGTACGCAGTACGAGACCAAAGTGGGGTTTGAACAGACCTGAGGACCTTACGGGCTCCTGCTGCTCCTGTCCCTGACCCCGCGCAGTGATTGCCGTAGAGCTGAGGTGCTGAAGAGTCGTCTTTGTCTGAGCAGGACATTTCCCTGGAAATTGCAGTTCTAGATTCTATGCGGTACTAAAATGCAGTTTAGCATGCAGTTTTTGCCTAAGACCTGGTCCCTGCCAGTTGAGTGAGAAAAAGATGTGAATCCTCTTAGGAGTATATTAACCTTGTTGACAACCTTAGAATGCATTAGGTGTGTTTGTGGTTTTTGGTTTGGTTTTTTTTTTTTTAAAGCTTAGTGATTAGCTCTGTTGTCAGCAGGAAATGCTTCCATATCTAGTCAATCAGGAATCAAATCCATGGTATATTAGAGGCTGCTGCTTTGACCAGACAATTAATTATGATGGGTCCCTTTCCAAGGTATGGCAATGGTATTTTACACCAGAGAGGGTTGGGTTCTTTGCACTCAGATGAATGAAAGAACTCTATTGTGGTTCCTTTCTTTTTATTACTTGTGCTGACAAGTCAAAACTGATCTGCCTAAAAATTCAGCGGCAAAGACCCTTCCCCCACTGTGGTGTTTCAAAAGCCTTTGATACTTAGTAGAAGGAGTACATGCTGGCCAGGCACCTTTATTTTGCCTGAATTTTGTTTATCTTTCAGTGAAACAAATTTTTGCAGTTGTTTTTGTGCATCTGTATTCCCTGGGTCAAATGCTTCCAGTGTGTCTGGGGATAAAAGGCCTTAAGTGCTTAGACTCATGCTGCAAGGGGAAGTAATATAATGGAAAAATACCCACAAGCAACCAAAGATTGGGGGAGATTGTAATTGAGTTAGGTATGTAGTTGGATTGGGATACTGAGTTAGTCCTGGGAACCATCAATGAATACAAAACCCAGCCTTTTTTTTCTTAGTATCATGCCAGTTTAGGATCAGGAGCCATCTCAAATGTAATGTGAAGATTTGGAGCTAAAATCAGCCTATATGTGCCCTTAGTTCCTGCAGAAGGATTTGCAACTTGAATAGCATTTGATCTAGATTCTCTGGGGAATTTTTCTTGGGGAATATTCTGCTTTGAATTACAGAACTTTAAAGAAAAGTAATTTTAAAAAACTTATTTTTAAAGGACTTACTGAGACCTTAATGCTTGCAAGGAAGAAATCCTACATGTGTTTTTGTGCTTTGTTATTTCATTTAAAAAGTGGTCAGTCAAGGGTAGGAAGATACAGCAGTTGATCACTTGATCTAGAACGTAGCAGAGAGATGCAGTGAAACAAGTACGATCTTGAGAGCTGCCTTGAGTCTGATATTTTGTAATATCCATTTAATTGATTTTGGTTGTAGCCTAAAATATCTGTCATTCACTTTTTTAATATGTACTTGTAAATTAGTAAGAAAAAGTAGAGCAGGAAACTTTGGCATAAAAAGCCTAGATATGAAGGTAGATGGCACTGTTTCCATTATTATCTAATTCTACTTTCATGCCTTTATTTTGTGTTACTGTCTTCGTAGTGCTTTATAGTTTCTCAAATATTATAACATGGAACACTACAAGTATTTTGTTATTCGACTGTAGAGAATATATTTGCCTCTTTATGTTAATATGAGGACCATTTACATTTATGTATATAGAAAACCCCCTCCCTTTTCAAAGCCAATAGTTTATAGTAAGAATTCTGTCACAAAGTGTGACAGTTTAACTGTTAAACCAGAAAGTTGTGACATACTTTTTCCATGAAAACTCTGACTGAGTGCAATGGTTTTGTGCTTTCTTGTAGGATTTCCTCTCAGGAGGATTGCATACCAAATGTAAAAGCAGAAGCTCCCTAGTTTACAAAGGTAATACAAAGCAATGGTGCTTTTATATCTTTTACAGGGAAAACATATACTAAAGCTGCATTGTTCCTAAATTTATTTAGTTTTGTATTTTCTCATTTTAAACAGGTAGGTAATCTTGATCAGGGCGTTGTGATACCTGGGAGCCAGCCTGGGAATGATAACAGGTAAAGAGTGCAAAGGATGTTTTGGAGCAATGGTTCACAGCCTGTTTGTCTTTAAGTCCTGCTTGAATTAGTTGGTAGCATTTTACTTCATAATGCATGTATTTAGCTTTAATTTAAAGATACATAAATGTTTAATATCTAGAACACATTTGGTCTCTTTCAGAATCTGGAGCACGGAGAAAGCTGGCTATTTGTCAGATTTCTACAGAAAAATTTTTATAGGCAGACAAGCTCTAAAATGTCAGAAAAACAAATCGTATGTGAAAGCTAAATAATTCTTACTATGCCTTAAGCTGTTATAATGAAGTTCATAATTTGTCAGGCTGCATGAGTGATGATTTTGATTTTTAAACATACATGGACTACATGGTAAGTACTTCCAGTAAGTCCTTATTGATTTCTTGATGTCAGCTTCTCAAATGTGAAATAAAATTGTTGCAATTTTATATATTTCAGGTGGCACTGACAGCTCACTGAAAAATAGAACTATTTCTTTATCAAATTGTTCCTTAGAGTCAGAATTTACTGAAGCTGGAAGAGAGAAGAGCATTGGATCTAGTGATTTCCAGAAGAGTTTGAAAAACTGGGATTGGTAGGAGGTGTTTTTATTTCTCCTTTATTTTTTTTCTCATAAAACTACAAATAAAACATGTATTTGGACTGTGCAAAAGTTGTTTTAAGTTTCTTGGTTTTTTTGCTAAGTAAAGAACTGTTTGTAGCTAATTTGTGTGATCATGAGGATGCTGATTTTGATGAGGAATATTGTTTCACTTTCTAATCTAATCTGTGTGTGTTGGAATTGCTAAGGGAATACAGGAATGACATTAACAAGGTGATAAAAAAAATTAACTAGGAGGAAAGCGAATATCCCAAACTGATAAACAGATTTATGTTTATTTAAAGATAATTCAATTCCAAATGCCAGGAAATTTCTTTTAAGGGCTCTTTTACACCAAATAGGAAAATATAACTTGAAAAGGGGAGTTGTATTTTTAGTTCTCTGGGAATTTGGTGGTTTGTAGTAAGAGAAGAGTGCTGGTTTTACCTGTTACATGTGCTTACAGCATGAAAAGCCTAGTTATTGTAACAACTTTCAAGTCAGCAACATGTAATTTCTGTGGTTGAGATTTGTGAGTCACAATGCCTTTCATCCAAATGATTTAACTCTGCTATTTGTTATCAGTAAAATATCAAATTCTTACATTAAGCAATGTTTGCCTTTTTATACAGACTTGTTTCAGTCTCTGTTATGTATCATGTTAGAAAGGAATTGAGTAATTTAAAGTTAGTGCTCTTTTGTACTTTTAGTTTTGATGATGAGCAAGATTATTTTTGTGGTTCAAGTGGTCTAGACATAGAAGAAAACAGCATTATTTGCTCTGAAATTGATGCAACTCAAAATACAGCTATATACACGGGGGCAGGTAATAAAAATTTAATTTTATACATTCTTACAACTCTCTGTGAAGTATAACATGTAACTTTAAGAACTTCCTAGTAAATGTACTTCTGTTCAATTCAGAAATACACTAGTCACCTAAGATGTATTTTAATGTGGGGATTTTATCTTTCACATGGGTACTTTCTTCAGAATTATTTTAGGAGGTCCAGACATACTTGAAGCAATACTAGTGTTATTTTCTCATGTGGCATCCAGTAGTTTCTTAACTCTTGTCCTGTTTACTTAGATGTCACCCTAAGGTCTAATCAGCAGCAGATCAGTTACCTGAAGCCCTTACAAAAATAATAGGGGATTTTGGTGACCTGATTCAGTCTGTGTACTGATTCCATACAGATATCTCTGGGATTTCTGTATATTGCAGTGGAGGGCATAGTTTTACTTATAAAACTGTTGATTTTTGGTCAATTTGAATAAATCATGGAACAAGAACTTGGATCAAATCTCTGTAATTCTTTAGATTACTTTCACATTTTGATACGTCTTGCTCTGTACTTGTAACTCTGAATTCCTAGAACATATTTTTGCCAGTTTTGTACAACTATCATATCAATATTTAGCTAGGACTGATTTTTTACTGTAAAATGCATTTTTTTTCCATGTTGACAGGCCTCACTTTACCATCTCATTTGGCTGCAAATACTCAAGAAAATACAGACCAAATTATCAACCATGGTTTGTTAAAGAAAATTGTGCATGGAACTGGTGCTCAGGCATGCAATAGGCAAGGTTTAATACCACCTCACATCAGTCAGATTTATGATGAATTATTTCTCATACATCAGAAGCTCCAGGTAGGAACTGGAATCACCTTCAAATTTTTATTGAATAACACTATGAATATTCTCACGTTTGAGAAACAAATCTGAAATTACTTATATAGTAAAACTTACTTATATATTAAACTATTATTTTTTACTATTAATTTATATTAACCATAGTTACTTATATACTAAATCTGTGTCTCTATCTTCCTCTTCCCCTAGATTAATTCAGTGATTCAGTAGTGATGCTTTGATTTGAATTTTGGGTAGACCAGGTAGATGGGTAGGTGGGCAGATTCAGCTTGAGGGAGCTGGAACATGGTGTTTCTACATCCAAGAAATGTAGACACACTGTGTGTGTAGAGAGAAGCACTCTCACAACCAAGAAATGTCTTGTGACACACTGTGTGTGTAGAGAGAAGCACTCTCACAACCATTGCTTCTCTTGAGAACATCTGAAACTGTTCTCCTGACTAGGCATTCCAAAGCACTTGCCTTCATGGCCTCCTCCAAAATCCCTCTACTCATCCCACCAGCCCATCTCCAGGTTTAGGCTACTAACAGAAGAACCTCCTATATGGTTTTACTCTGTAATAGTTCCTAAGCTTCTGCTGGATTCCCTGCCATAATTGTCTTATCCAATATATGAGATAAAAATAATTTTGTATCTCCTTTTTTCTTCACCACTTTTTCAGGGACAACTTCTCACTAGTTGAAGAAACAATATCATTAATCTGGTGTTCAACACAGTCAGTCACATCAAACTCTGGTCTGTCTTAAAAGTTAATAGCATTATCCAAATATTTTGGAAGCAAAAGCCAAAGTTTGATTTTCTGGAGCATCAATGTGGAGTTGAATTTTACATTTTGGGAGACTGTGCCATTCCAATGCACATGGAGGTCTTTGGGTTAATGTGGGAGGAAACTGAGCAGAGGTGGCTGTCAGGATACTTTGTATTAATAAGCTCTTGTGTAACTGTAATTTCACAAAGAGCTAAACATATCTCTGGGACAAAATTTTAAATTGAGCATAATTTGGGAACACTTCACATGGGTATTTAACGTAGTTTAACCTTTTTTTTTCTTGATACAGAGAGAAAGTTCAGCACAGCAGGAGTATGCTCTGCAGCTGCAGAAACGAGAGCGTTGTCTAACAGAACAAGAAGCATTGTTTTTTCAACACGAAGCAGCTTTGGCTAAAATAAGAGGTGTTGAGGAAGAAGTTCACACAAAAATTGAAGCTATAAAAGAGGTGAAATAATATATTCAATGATAGATATTGATCTGTATGCCCTTTAACTCATTTGTAGTTATCTTAAGCCATCACGTTTGCTGTAAATCCTGCTTATTTCTTTGAAGTCCTTGAAATCCCCAAAGGAAAGATTTAATAAAAAGTACTGAACAATATTGCTAGAGTTTTTGTATGATTTCTCTTTCAGAATGGGGCATTTACTTGTCTGATAAGTAGTACATTTTACAGTTACAAGTTAGAAAAAGGAGGTAATTTTTTTTTGTAAAATAGTGAAAGCTATGTAAGCAATATTAGAGGAAAAAATGTGGTCAATCTGTAGTTGTGTGTAAGGTAAATGAGTATCTTTGCATTAGCTGTAGTTGCAGTGGATTTCCTTGGGAATGCTTTAAGACACATTGAGATCTTCTCACATAACACCTATTGCAGAGAGTACTAGCAAACAAAGACTCACAAAGTTTGGAGGAAGACCAGCCTAACTTTGGGGGTGTGGAAAGAAAGAGTAGTGAAGAAGAGTGAATTCATGGAAGGAGAGAAATGAAAGCTAGAATATTTTCAGTAAAATAAAACCTTGCTATTTTACCAAATCTGAGGTACTTAAATCGAAGGTCCAGAGAAGATTAAATATAAAACAAATTTCAGGAGTAAGAGATGAATGACAGTGGATATGCAGGTTGTATTTAATAATTCATATGTTTGTGTTGTAAACCAGAGCCCCAGTCTCTACAAGGCATAGGGTTAGTTTCTCACTCTGTGTGATTCAGTGTAAGCAAAGCCAGAAACATGAGTTGAAACCCCAAAACACAGTCACAACTTTTTGTAAATATTTGGAAGAGTGAGCTGTAAGTAAAAGCTTTGTCATTGATTTTAGTTCATAAATGCATCCCACATCTGAATTGTTTGAGAAATATACATGTCTTTAGTTGGTCTGGGTAGAATAGGCAGCAATAGGAGCTATAGGCTGTGCATGTTGCTCTCAGTTTTTGTAATAGGCAGTACAGAGCTTGTTTTTCTCACTGCTGACTGAACATGCAAATTTGGACATGAAGAACTTGACATTAGAAAGTTTGTCCAACTCTTTTAACACTTAACTGGAACTTACTGTTTCTCAACTAGTCTCTTTTAGAACATGGTCTTAAATTTGATATTTCTACAGCAACATGAGGCAGAAGTTAAGCAGCTGACAGAAGCCTTGAGAGAAATAACTAAAGAAAACAGGAGGCTGAAGTCATCATATGACAGCTTGAGGGATGTGAATGACTCTTTAAGAAAGCAGGTAAACTTTATTATTTCCTGTCATAAATAATTCTACAAGTTACAGTCAACAAATATTTGAGCAGCTTGAGTTTGCAAAATTGCTGACCTTTTGTTTCTCTAAGACCAGAATTGTATGAATGACTGAAAATATTTTTCTCACTTGTTTCTAGTACTTGAAATTTAGCCTTTCTGGTCTTTTACAATATAAAAAAGAAGTAGGATTTATTCTACCGACTCACTAGCTACAGCTAATTGTTAGGAAGGGAAAGTCCATTGAGAATGGATGGAGAGAAAGTATTTTATTCCATTTTATAATGGAATCCACCTGTGCAGATTTGTTGTGCCAAATTGCTATGCTGATTCTACTAAATAAAAACTAGAATGATTATTTCTAACTTCATGTTTGGTCAGTATTTTCAGTTATTTTTGCAAATTTTAATGAAGGCAGTACTTTCTCAATTTGTAAACTAGAATGGTGTGTTTCATAGTAATGCATAGAGTAGGAATTTGTCTCACTTGACTTTTAAGTCTGATCTAAAATGGTGATACACAAATTAACTAAATTATTTGAGCATTGTTTATTCATTGACCTAATTAATGTTCTGATAATCTGAATACAGTAAAAATCTACAATAGAGCCTTATTCTTTTCCTTAAGAAGGTCAGACCTAACTCACAGGATGTTGATAGTTCTGATGCAACCCATCTGTCTTGTTATTTCCTATCACTATAAAATCTTTGCATTTCTGTGCAAACTGAGGGCTTCTGTGGTGATCATGCTGTTTGTTGTTGTATGGATAGAGCATGGTGGGTTTTTTTATTTAAATGGAGGTTGCAGTTTTCCTGATCTTTTCTCACCAAGGAAACTGTTTTTTTAGCATGGTCAGTAACCACCTTCCCCATTAACAAGACTATGATTAACATTCTTGAATTTGTGCCTTTTTGTCACTTCTTCATGACAAGTAATCAAATGTGAAGTGCATGTATATCTAAGAGTGCCATTGTAGTGCTTATTCTTCTCCTGCACTCTGAAAGGTTGGGCTGCAGAGATACTGCTGCTGTCTTATTTATCCTGGAACTTATCCTTATTAATCTTATCACCACAGAGGTGATAAGAGTCTAACACCTTGGAACTATTCAAAAGCTGTCTGGACATAGCAGCCAGACATAAGCACTACACTGACACTACTTCCTGGCCCAGCTTGAGCTGGGGGTTGGACCAGGTGTCTTCCAGAGGTGCTCTCAAATCTCAACCAGTCTGATTCTGTAATTTGTTGAGGGAAGTGGATGATGATTTTCTTTCTATCACTTTTCATGCTAATAAGAAAAAACTTAAATAATTTAGCTGTTCCACAACATTAAGTTACTTCAGTGTGATAATTAAGTCATGATGTGAGTTTGGAATTTACAGACAGTTTAATATTTTCTGCTTCTTTCAGTTAAGTGATGTAACTGAGTTGAGCAAGAAGTTGGAAGGTCAAGCACGAAGAGCAAAAGCTCGTTTAGAAAATCTACAAGTAAGGTTTGTTCTTACATGTACCTGCTTTTATAGGTAACCAGTGAAATATAATTCATTGTTATATTTTGTTTAGAGGAAGCATGAATTTTCAAAGGTATGGAAATCTAATGATTTGTGTCAAGTGATGAAAGAAGGCAAACCTGTGAAACAGGAAAAAGTGATGGCAAAATCAAGAACTGCTACGGTAAGAATTAAGCAGAAGTCTTGAATCTATTCATTTGGAAGATATTAGGCAGTGTAACGTTTTCTCTGCATCTGCTAGAAATTGCAAAATGTAGCTTTTTATTTTATGAGGTACATTAAGAAGAGAAACAGATTCTATTGGGGAAAACCCACACTTAACAAAGAGTTAACTTTGTTGCTAAAAATATGTCTTGGATTTCATATTGCTTATTTGTATGTGTGTATTATTATTTATATGGCAAGTTTTCCTCCTCAGTTCATATTATCTTTCATCTGCCTTTTATAACCTGCATCCACTGTCACAGGTTTCTTTTGCTGCATCAGAACAAATCTTAGACTCATTCTGGTTACTGCCACAGTACAGCACTATCCTTATGAATAACACCAGGTAAAAAGTAGTCTTTCAGAATCCAATAAAGAATCTTAATCTTCTAAACCAAAAGTGGTATGCTGCTATTATTTTTTTGAGAAATAATCTTTAGTGGAGGACTGAGATTAAATGCAGTGTTCATTCACAGTTCCAAAACAATCAGCTTTTTTCCTTAAAAAACCTTCTTACATCACTTAATGAAATTCTTTCTGTCTCCATGTTGTTCCATTTATGGTATTACTCTGCCAGTGTCTCCCAGCTGGTTATGCTTTTTTTTCCAGCTAGAGGTAAGCTGTGAAATGAGAAAGATATTCACACCACCCTGTCTAATTGATCTGCAGTGAATGCCTTAAAACTGTGCTGTCTATATATAGCCAACAAATTCTCTTTATATAGGTTTTAGCATACTTTGGTTGCACGTGAAATACAAATAGTATCAGTAGTTATAGTTCTGAGTGAAGAGGAAAGGAGTTATCTGAAGGTAGATAGAAGAAAAGTTTTGAGGTCTTTAGGGAATTGTTCATGCAGTCTGTCTTCAGGGATCTCTGGATTTCTTTTGTAGAGTATTTAATTGCAATGTAGTAGAGCCAAGATGAGAGCTTCATTAAATTTTTGTTCTTTTTTTAAACATAATTAATTAATTAATACTAGTTACCCAGTTAAATTTATCAACAGTGGATTGCATGAAATGAAACAAAGTAGGTCTAGTGTATTGAAATAAGAATTTCCCACACTCTTTAAAGTGAAGGACTTTAAAGGTTTGTTTTCTCCTGTATTTCATTTGTCCAGAATTATAAAGTGTAGTGATTCTGAATTAATTTTTTTCCAAGCTGTTTTACTACCATTTCATCAAGTACAAAATAAATTATGGCCATATTTTTTTCACACCCAGAAATCATCACTATAGGTGTTTGTTTTGCACTGGGGAGTGAAGTATGAAAGAAAGAGAAAGAAACACTGCAGGGTTCCTTCTGGATCTTTGTAGGAAAGGCTGACAATAAATGGCTTCATTAAATGGCTATAAAAATAAAATAGAGTAAGAGGAGGAATATAGAGAGTGAGTAAATGATGTGTCCCTTTAGATGCTGGGAGCGTTGTGTTTGTGAGCATCAAATGGAGCCCTGGTGGACTTTTCTCAGGCCATGCTGAGCAGAGCCTGTCCATTGAAAGAAGCCCCTCCTTTTTGGCCACTCAACATATATATCATTTTACATATCTTGCAAGAAAACAACTCTGTTCATGAAGGACGTTCATGGGAGAAGAACTTGTTGCACTTTTAGACAAGGCCAAGGCCAGGCAAGATCAGCAGTACCAAGAGGGAGCTGCCTGAGCTTACCCTGCAGCCAAGCACAGGATAAACTGTGCAGTTGGTTATCTGTGCAGCACAGCACAGGCTGCACTGCTCCAGTTAACTGTGGTGTGGATCTCTGACTCCTTGACGTACAGGGGTCTCCCAGTCAGGACTGCCACCTTCCCACCTTTGGTCTGCATACAGTGTAGCTTTCCCAGAGATGCTGTAAGGTACAGTTCCTTTCATACTATACAGGCTTCTTAAACCCTAGGTACAAGGGCCAGCAGAGCTCACATGGCCTGTTCAAGATCACGGTCTGCTTGAATGCATTTTCCACAAGCTCACACACTACAGTAACTCACCTCTCAGATTTTATCAGGCATAAAATTCTCATCCTTTCTATTATGCATAATATTTCATAGCTAATGTACTGTCATGTATTTTAGTCTGTTACTGCTTTAGCTTAGACAAAGCATTAAATTGAAAGCTGAAATATCTGATGATGTGAATATATTACAGCTACCATTGAATTCACAAGTCTATGAGCTCTTAACTTATCTTATGGATTGGATCTCTGACCAGCATCTTAGCAAAATAAAAACAAAAGAAGAGAGTCATAAACCTAGGGTTACCCAGAGCTCAAAGAACTCCTGTACTCAGGAAATGTGTATGAAGGTAAGGGGGTTTGGGTTGTTTGCTTGGGTTGTTTGCTTGTGTTAATATGTTTTCCGATTTTGCTGTGCTTTAAATGATTCTGAGAGTATAACAGGCCATCGTGTAATTAAAATAAAATAATTGTTAGTAAATCAATATTCATTCCAGCAGTAAGACATAATACATTTGCAAAGCAAATGGATAATTTTTAATAAGTGTGATATCCTGTCTCAACCTAAGAGCTTCAGCATTCTATTTCAAATAACTTCTGTGAGGTGATAGCTTGTCTTGTGTTTTATGTGTGATGCATTGCTTTAAGGATATCAACAGATCAAATTTAAAATATTTTTATGCCTCTTTAGATACTAAAATTTCAATTTATCACCAATAAAAGGTGATCCTGTGCTGTATTTCAACACCTGTATTGTTTTTCTTGTGATACCAAGATTTAGAAATCAGTGAGGTGTTCAGAAAATTCACTTTGTTGTATTTATTTATTATATAAAAGATTTGTAGTCACTGTGATTGGATTTACATGAGATTAAGCTCACATGTATCTCCATTCCCACATGTAAACCTATGTAAAATTTAACACCTGTGTATGCATATAATTCTGGTAGCTGTACTGGATCTGCCCAGAGAACATTAGCATATGTAAACTGATAAATTCCAAGAGAAAGTTAGGAGGTTTGTTTGTTTGTTTTTCACTTACACTTAGCTTATAGAATAGTTCATATATATACTGCATGTAATTCTATTTTTCTATATTTTTGCAGCTTTTGCCTATAGCTGCTGAGCAACTCCAGTGGATGCCATATGTGAATCCTAAACTGCACATGCCTGTGATTAAATTTATTTACTGGTCTATAAGACAGTTAGACACTGATACACAGGTAAAACAAGTAGTCATCCTGCAGTATATTTAAAAAAAATCACAGAAAATATTAATGGATTTTGTATATTAAACATATATGAAAAATGGATATTTTCAGGTAGCATATAGAAGAGAAACAGCTGTCTTTGTAAGACATAAATTCATAGCATTGACCACAGAAAGTGGCAAATGAAAAACAAATTCTTCTTCAAGTTAAATTTAAATTTTGCACTGTGTAATGTAGTTTCCCTATGTATGTGATCTCTTTTGTGATGTCTAAGCACATCTGAAGTTATATTTTTGCATATGTATTAACAAAGCTTGCACTAGAGAAGGCAGTTATTTTATTGTGTCATTTATGAGAATGAGATTTGTTGAAAGTGATGGAAGTAAGTGGCAAAGCAGTGAAGAAATTTTGATTTTTCTGTCCTCTGCTTGGTGTCTAACCACAAGACATTCCTTGCTCTTTTTGACCAGACTGCCATAAGAAAATATTTAGCAATATAATAAATAAAAAGACAGTTGTCATACTGTACAGAGCCAGCATAGTACTGTCAATGTTCATTTGCTAAAACAAATGCTAGAAAGTTTGTAAATATCCTGAGTTTAAATTCAATACAATAGTAAGATATTTGGTTTAGTTATAATAAGTAACTATATTTTAAACAAGCATATTGTGAAGTTTGATTCTGTGGAAATATTTCTATAGAGTTTATGATGAAAATCTAGTAGATGTTACCTCTGTAGTGTTCTTCAGCTTCATATTTAGACCTTGATTCTGTACATGCTTTTAAAGGATATAACTTCAGGCAAGCTTACAAAATTGAGTTGACTGAAACAGCTTTTTCTGGAACCAGAGGCAACTTAAATAATGTCAGAGTATCCAGGACCTTCACTAATTAGTCTCTTGCTGAAGTCTGTGTTGATAAGGCACCAGGTTAATATTGTTCAACAGATTTGAAACAAAGCAGTATCTCCTATGCTGATTATATTCCTATACATGGTCAAAGCATTTGCAATTTAATGTTTAATTGCATGGAGAACATATGTATGTCAAGTAGTAATGTTTGCACTAACTACATGCACTGTTTGAAGCAGCACACAACAATGAGATCAACCATGAGGAGACTTGGTGAAGATATCTTCAAAGGCATAGTGAGTAAGGGAAACCCACACAGTTCTTCTGAACAGCCTACAGAAAGTAAATCAAAGTCAGCAGCTTTCTTCAAGAGTTTCTGTATGCCTCTGAGGTTTCTGTCGACTTTGATTGTGCTTAAAACAGTGAAACAAGGTAGGTCAAGATTTTTTTAACATGAATTTATCTATTTCAGTCATGTGCCTGGACAAAAAGCATTTTAATGATACTGTGGAGTCTATTATGCTTTATTAGTGAAAAGTGATTTTACTTGGGTATTGTGAAGCAAAATATACAAGTATAAATCTTGCTATTATTCATTTTATGTTAGAATTTGTGTTTTTGTCAGTATGATGACTTGGCAAGTCAGCATTACTGAAGAGGGGGGAGAAGATAAAGGTTTCAAAGTAGACACTGTGAGATTACACAAATCAGATTGTGTCTGAACAGTGTGAGAAAAGATGTGAAAAATACAACTCAAAGAATAAGATAACTCTTCTCTCAGCTGGTTTTTTAACTGCTACCTTCAGTTTTAATGTCTCATCTTTCTTCAGGAGAAACAGGGAACAACGTATTGCAGATCCTTTATTATGGAAGTCAGACAGAAAAGTAAATACCATTAAGAGCAGGTGTAAGATGTGATTCCTGCTTACCTGCAGCAACTCAGCAGTACTGTGTGTCTGAATAAAGGGTTATTCTGCAAGAATAAATTTTACAAGAATAGCATAAGAATGAACATCTCTATAACCCTTTTCCAACTCTTTGTGGTATTAACCACTTATTTTCCCTTTTCAAAGACAGTCTAAAAGCATGGATCATTTTGATAGCAAGTAATTTTTTAGTGGGGTTACAACTGAGCAATCTAACCTAACCTCAGAGAAGGTTCTGCTTTCAACAGGAAGGTTGGACTAGATGCCAACCTAAATTATTTCATGTTTCTATTTTTGCTATAAATTTTCCTCAGAATGGTTTGTATTTTAAACTATCTTTACAGGTAACATGTTTCTTTTGTCAATAACACTAAGAGATTAATATAGGTTACAGAGATGTTAATTTTCAAGGTACTCCTGAAATATCATGCAAAAATGTCAAAATCAGATGCCTGCTTTGGCATCTGATTTTTTTAGTCTGTTCCATGAAATATGTTAAATTTTGGAGCATTTCTTAAACAGCAGAGATCCATGTCACAAAATTGCTACTATCTGTGGCACCCTGATTGACACAAAACAGGAATGCCAAATATTTTCAATGCATAGATAATGAATAGAGTTTTTATTCATGGAAGCCATGCTTCTGGATTAGGTGTTTAAGCAGATTAGTATGTTTTTATGCTTAATGACCTGTGCAATATTTATATTGTAAGTATTTATTGTAAACACAGGAATAAAATATGGTGGAAGACCATTCATGAACTAACACAGTGGTCCAGCTGTTGGAGGGAACTATTTCAGTGAAGCATGATAATTAGTCTCAAATGGATACTCACATTCTAGGAATGTTTGATAAAAACAGTGTAAGAAGAATTGAAATAAAAAACTAGTCATTGCATAGACTGATTTTCCCTAAGCAGATGAACACTCCTGATTAGAATGAATCAGTTTAGCTTTTCATGTTGCTTTGTACTGCTGGCTGCTGTAGCACAGAAAATATGATCTGTTGTTAAACATATGTCAGATATCACCGTGTATGAATTTTGATCACTCTGACCACATGGCACTAATGATCTGGTGATAAAATAGCAGATTTTGTTTGAACATATGTCCTCATTCCTTCAAAATGTCAGTATCCAGCAGATGGCACCATAGCTAAACTTATGCAGTAGGATAAATTGTTTCCTTCTGCTTAATTTTCTGTGCTCCAGATGATCAATGCAATACCAAGATACTGAGGAAGATTTGACAGCAGGAAGTTAAGAAAATAGATTTGTCCACTTAATCTACATCCTTTTTATAATTTCTCAGAATGGATGAGAATATAAAGTGTTTACACTGAAATATACAGCTTTTTATAGAAGGAATGGGACTAGTTGCTCTCATGAAAATAATTGCTCTCACTCAGACAAATCAGCCACTGACTCCCTTAATAGAGGTTTCCCAGATGTTGAAACCAGCATTGTCTCAAACTGTGTGAGTTTGTATTTTCTTTCCTCTAACAAAATATTTGCAGGACTTTACATTTGTAGGTATATTTTTCTTAAACATATGAATTGTAGTTAATCTTTTTCTCCACTCACAATGGATTGTTAAGGAATAAAAATAGGCAGAGGGTGTCTTCAAATAATAAGTAAATTTAATATTTTCAGATATTTAACTTTTAAGTGTGTATCTGCCATGGTAGCTGTCAGATAGTTGTTCACATGCTTAATGAAACAAGGATTATAGAAGTTTTATTGCCTGTATTTGGTATTTTCAGTGGATTACCTGGCTCAGGCATTTGAGTCCCTTCGTGCAGACTTGAAGACAGATGAAGGGAAGGCATTATTTTTGGAATACCAATGTGTGCCTGTCATATTAAGTCACCTAAAAGTATCCAGTACAAGTCTGCTTTCCAGAGCTCTTGATGGATTACTTCAGATGACCATGGAATCTGGTAAATGTGGGTAATAACAAAAAAAAAAAAAAATCATTATGAAAACAGGTGAGGAAAGCATATAAACAATGGACAAGCATATAAAAATACAGTGTAAAAGCTGTATAGTCTAATGTACTATTAGCAATTCTTTGTACTGTGTACATTCAGTAAAGACATAAAATGCATTTCTGAATTGTCCCTCTTTTTCTGAGTCATCTTGTGTTTTCCTCTCCCTCTCAGCCACTGTTTTGTATTTCATCCTGGTTACTTTCTTATTTCTTGCTGTGAAATTTTGTAGCTATTTTTTGGTTGGGTTTCATTTTATTCCACTGTATTACCTTGCTGATATTTTTCTTTGAAGTCAGGCTGTGCCAGGGAACCCAAATCATGAAAACCTGCCAGAAGGTGGAGATAAAAAAGATTCTATTTTAATTATTTTCCTAGTTTGGATGACCAGCTCATCCCCAATCATTTTTCAGTGTCTAGGGTTTGGAAATGGTATTTCTAGATGAGATGTTTATGTTTTGCTGGATTTTACTGTGCCTTGGCCCTAGAAAAGCATTAGTAATCTTATTTGCCACAGCATTTTTCCAGGTGATACAGGTAAGGATTAATTGATAACCACCTGGGTGAGCATGAAGGTAGTGACACATTCCAATGCCACGTTGAATAAACCTTGTGAGTGGGATTTTTTTTAAGATAAAATCACTCACTGCCTTTAAGAATAGAAATGCATATTGTTTTGGAAGTATTTTGTTATTATGCATTGCACTAGTAAAATAGAAAGCATGTTTGACTTGGGATGGTATAGCATTGAGAAAAAAGCAATTTTGTAGCAACCTAAGTTCAAAAATATTTAACTAAAGTTCTATTCTTCCTTGCAGTATTTTTCTGACCAGGTAATGAATGCAGTCTTACACTTTTCTTCCTAATAGTCATAACTGTGATGGGGAAAGAATTAATTGAATGCACAAAGGTAACCATCTAAGCAAGATGGACAGTGTTTGGTATTTCTTTGGGTAATGACTGTGACAGTACATCTTCAGTTACCTAGCATATCATTCTGATACACTAGGTGCCTGCAGTTTGAAGAATAATGAAGATACATTGTGAGACTCAAATTTTGCTTTCTTGCTTCTCAGAGAAGCTGTGTCTATGTAAAATCAGAGAAGGAAGAGTAATTAAATTGACATTTGATTGAAAATTATTTCTTGGCAACTGGATATAAAGATTATATTATGTAGAGCCTCTTTGGTAGAATAAATTGCCAATACACAAATTAGGCATGGTCTGCTCTTTTCCAATACATAGTGTTTTGCAAGAAATTTTTAACAATGAGAAATAGTGTTGCTGATGGGAAATGGGGTTTTCATTCCTTTGTAAGTTTCCAATTAAAAAGTCATTAAAGACAAACTTTGGAAGGCGGCAGTGACTTATTCAGAAGAGAACTTTCTGTGTTAGAGTAAAACAGGAATTCATGCTCAGTTTTAAAGCTGTATTCATGTGCAGCCCTAAATATGAAGAGATAGGTAGTGGCCATATATTAAAATATGGAGTCATATTACCCAAAAAGACAGCATCCAGTCAACAGGAGGCAAAGTCTAGACTTCTATTTTTTAATGTAATATATACCATCCTAGGCATTCTCTCAATTTGTTGCAGTAATTTTCTGGCTCTATAGGAGTGTTACAATACTCTTGCTCAAAAATAATACCTTTAGAGATGAAGCTATTAGAAATTAAATTGGAAAAAAGGCCAGTGGAAATTTTTCTAGCATATAATTTTCTATAACTTTAAGTTTTTTTTTAATGGAGTGTTTTTACAGATTTGAATCTTAGTTGTCCAGGCTGAAAAATGCGAATCAGATATGAAATAACCACTGTGTTGCAGTACTACTTCCTGTAACTGCCTGTACATTTTTTTTTATAATAAGCAATTAATGTTAATGTTTCTGTGCAGTCCAGACTTAGCTGAAGTCCTTAGGTAGGTTCTCTCTCCTGTGAGAAATTATTTTTCTCATGTTCCAGAAATGAAGCCTAGGTTTCCCTCATATACTGAGGATAATTATTTAAGCTGCATATGAAGAATCACAGAATCATAGAATGTGCTGAGTTGGAAGGGACCCATCAGGATCATCAAGTCCAATGCCTGGCCTTGTGCAGGACACCCCAAGAGTCACACCCTGTGCTCCGGAATGTTGTGCAAATGCCTCTTGAATTCAGACAGGCTTCGTGCTGTGATCACTTCCCTGAGGAGCCTCTTCCAGTGTTCAACCACCCTTTCCATGGATATCCAACCTAAACCTCCCCTGACTCAGCTTCATGTCATTTCCTCAATTTCTCACACTGGTCATGAGAGTGAAGAGATTGATGTCTGCCCCTTCTCTTCCCTCATGAGGATATTGATGACTGCAAGGAGGACTCCACTCAGTCTCCTCCAGGCCAAACAGACCAAGTGACCTCAGCAGCTCCTCATAAGGCTTCCTCTCTTTGCCATCCTCATGGCCTTGCTTTGGACACTCTCATACTTTAATGACTTCTCTATATTTTATTCCCCAAACTGTCCCCTGCACTCAAGGTGAGGCCTCCCCAGCTCAGAGCAGAGCAGGACAATCCCCTCCCTTGCCCAGCTCGCCATGCTGTGCCTGATGCCCTCCAGGACAGAGTTGGCCCTCCTGGCTGCCAGGGCACTGCTGACCCATGTTCAGTTTTCTGCTGACCAGGACCCCCAGGTCCCTTTCTTCAGTGCTGCTCTCCCGCCTCTCATTCCCCACTCTGCCTGTACATCCAGGGTTGCCCATCTTAAGTGCAGAATCTGGCACTGTACAGTTTTAAACTTCATATGGTTCAGCTCTCTAACTTGTTGAGGTCTCTCTGAAGGTACCTATTAGTCTAAGACAGATATTTCTCTTGATGGAAGCCAGAATGAGAGTCTGCAGTACTGCTTAAGCAGATTTGGGATTGGTTTGCATGTTCTTACATTTTGGATCAGTATCATTATTTGGCTTCATAGTATGTCTGGTACAGTGGGTTCAGAATTCAGGTTTCCCTTGCAAGTTCACACAACACTGATGGTGCTTCACTTACTGAAACTACAATGTCAAATGCAACAGCTGAGGCATTAGTATCATCTTTTTTCTCTCTCTGTCCAAGACTTTAATGGCAAATTAAAATTAATAGTTTCTCTGCTGTGGATGTTACTGGCAGACAGCCTTTCATGCAGTCCATCTCTCTTCAGGAGTTAAGCATCAACAATCTGTGAGAGTCACGACACCAACATTTCAATGGAAAATGATAGAGGTCTGAAAGGTGACATACCTCAGTACTTTTTTCTCTTTCTGCATCTCCTCTGTACAAGGGTAGATAAAACCTGGAGTGTACCTCTCCAGCTGAGCCACTTGTGGAATTCTGTGAAGAAATGTTTAAGACTTTTGGTACCCCTAGGAAGCTAATTTCTATGTGCTTCTTGAAACTTAGTTGCATCAAGTTTGGCTGCACTGTTATTTTCCTGACATCTGTGAGTTTCCATGCCATTGTATAATTCTAAAAGAACTAATCCCACTATTTTGTCCTAATATAATGGGATGGCCCTGGCTGAACACCAGGTGCCCACCAAACCACTCTGACACTCCCCTCCTCAGCAAAACAGGGAAAAGGAAATAAGATTGAAGAAATAAATTTTGGGTCAAGATAAAGGCAGTTTATTAAAGCAGAAGCAAAGTCCACACTTGGAACCAAAGCAAACCAAAAGATCCCATCAGTAGATAGTGTCTGACCACTTCCTGGGAAGTGGGGCTTCAGCATGCATAGAGTTTGCTCCAGAAGACATGTCATAAATAAGGAATGCCCCATTCCCCTCTCATGTCTTCCTCCTCCTCTCTTCCCTTGGCTTGTATTGCTGAGCTAATGCCATATGGTATGGGAGTCACTTTGGCTCAGCTGCTCTGCCTGTGTCCCCTCCCAGGATCGTGCCCAACCCCAGCCTGCAGGTGAGGGGGAATTTACAGAGACAGTGTTGACACTGTGCTGGCACTGCTCAGCACTAGCCAAGGACTGGTGTGTTACCAGCACCTTTCTAGCTTCCCATACAAAGCACAGCACTTTGGGGGCTGCTGTGAAGAAAATTAGCTCTTGTCTCAACCAGACCAGTACACCCAATCATTAACATATTTGGAATTGTAACAATGTGTGTGATATACAGAATATACATGTATGTGTGGTATAAATATATATATGTGTATATATATATATATATATGCTGATCTTGTTTGCCTCACCTCTTTTACACAAATCTTAAGGCCTAAGGAAGAGGTAAAATGTTCTACTGATCATTGTTCCTGTCATATACAAACTCATTCATAGTTGGACCAAAGGCTGACTTTTAAATGTCAGGGGAGAAAAAAGTTGAGGTTAGTATGCTCCTCAGGGCATAAGAGTGAGAGGAGCTGCTAAAGATGTTATGCAGTAATTCAGACAGTTTACTTTGTGTCAAAAGAACTTCAGTTTCAGTTTACTTTTATGCTCTCATAGTATTGGGGTTTTTTCCATATTCCAGTACTTCTGTGGATTCTGTTCTTTACTTTTACTGTTTGTAGATTTGAGGAATAAAGTTTTGCAGCTGTGTGGGTCCTTACCTAACCACTTGCATTTTGTTAGCAAATTGCTTATTTTAACCTGTGCTAGAAAGTTAATAAGTAACTGAAATGAAATTGTAGGTAATTCTTATGATAAACAATATAATTCTAAGGAATTTGTATTTCATGTTGTTTATATGCTGGAGAATTTTCTTTTTTCAGATGAGCTCAGTGGCCTAAGTTGTAGTCTGGTTAGTTTAGTCAGCTCCCTTTAGGGGAAGTAACAGGTTGCTTCTAAATTCTAAATGTGGGAGTTAACAGCTTGTTGTGAACATGATAGTAGAAAATCAACTCTACAAAGATATTTTATCTCTTTTCTCTTATTAGATTCTGCTAATGTTTTTGTTTCAAACTGTACATAATGCTGTATAAATTGGTTTAGCTATATTTT